TTTATGAAATAATGACAAAATCTAATGCAATATTCAAATAATTGCACAATCATGCCCCAACCAACTATTCAATGGAAGTTGTAGAAGCCATTGCCCGCCCAGCTCATGGATCATTCCAACATGCACTTTGGCCACAACCTGGACGCAAACAGTAGCCATTACAATGCCTAAGTCACCAGCACTAAATCAGTTCCATCACAAGGACAGTTTCCTACACAGGCCACCTTCCTTATTAACTGTTTATCTGGAGTCAACAAAGCAGGAAATACTTTCACCCCACTTCATAGCACTTATTTCTTGAGAGGGCCCCAAACTACCCAATGCCTGGACCCAACTCAAGAACATAGTAGAGAGTCTGTCCTACATATAGTATGGGGGTAGGACACCTCCTCCCTATCTCCCAACCATTTACTTATTTCCAATGCATTTGCTGGAAATTTTCTTCTTTGCCCATGTTTGTCTTGTTTATACTGTTTATAGAACCTGGAGATAATAATAAATAATGTCCACTTAACTCACTTTATTGTGCTTTTTTTGGCATAAGTATAATTAACAGGGTCTTCCAGGGCCTTCGCCATCCCAGAGACAGGTGACCAAAATTGGGCTGTCAGCTTTCCTCTGGGGATCTTTGACTAATCCTTCAGCCTACACCACAGTAACCTACCTGGTTACTGTGTGTGACCACTGGGACTTATAAGTCCTTATTCTAGGGACACTTCCTGCTTTCTCTGACCCCCCCAGGCTCACTTCCTGGCCCCAAGTACCTATTTTCCTACAGACACAGAGTGAAATACATATTTATAAGGTATACATAGACATAAACTTAATAGAAAAAAACTGGGAACCCAGTCTAGAGCTATAGAGAAATGCACATCCATGTTCTATGAACAGACATCCACACATGAGAGGAAACAGAACATCTATAGTTTACTTTTTCAAATATAAATCTGGGACTTCCCTGGTGGCGCAGTGGTTGGGAATCCACCTGCCAATGCAGGGGGCACGGATTCAAGCCCTGGTCGGGGAAGATCCCACATGCTACGAAGCAACAAAGCCTGTGCGCCACAACTACTGAGCCTGTGCTCTAGAGCCTGCGAGCCACAACTACTGAACCCGCGCACCTAGGGCCCGTGCTCCGCAACAAGAGAAACTACCGCAATGAGAAGCCTGCACACCACAACGAAGAGTGGCCCCCACTCGCTGCAACTAGAGAAAGCCCGCACGCAGCAACGAAGACCCAACGTGGCCAAAAAAATTTTTTTAATAAAAAAATAAAATGAAATATAAATCTGATCATATCACATCCCCTCTCTGCCTGCTGAAAGCTTGAAGCCCTTCCAGTGCTTCAACCCCATCACTGCAAGGATATTGCAAGACCCTGCAATGCCAGTCCCCTTGCTCTCTCTGTCCAGCTCCCCTAGACTTCTCTTAGCCTCTTCCTTCCTGGCTCCCTCACCCTTGCACATGCCATCCCCTTGGCCTTGAATGCTTCCCAGCCCGCAGCTTTGCCAAGTTGTTTACTCATCTTTCAGCTCTCGACTTGTTTTATCTCCATTGGAACTCTCCCAGCCACACAAATTCAAATCTTCCAACATACGTGTGTAAACCACCATGATCATCTTTGAAGCAGCTGTCACACTGCAATTTCACTTCTGTGTGATTTTTATGTTTTAATACCATCTGCCTCCCCAGGGAGACTGAGAGCTGCAGAGTGCAGGGACCCCTCCTGCTGCTACTCCCTGCTGCCCAGCCCACTGCTTGACACATGATAGGCACCCAATACATTTTTGAATGATTAGATGAATAAACAAATATGTGAAAGCACCTTGAAGAGTAACATACGCTCAGTGCATGTTAACTTCCTTCTTTCCAGTCTCTAGCATGTATTTGCTTTTAGTTTCCCCTTGTTTTAGAGTATAGTTTGATCGTCGAAAAATTAAAAGTAAAACTTTAGTAAGTCTTAACCCAATAACTGAAAACAACATATTATCTGTGTACTATTTACACAGTCTGAAGGGAGCCACAAATGCCTGAGAGATTGCCATCACTAAGGGATTTCTACATTAGGAAAAAATTTTCTAGACAGACAAGTGAAAAGATTATTATTTTCTGAAGACGTCCTGCAGTCAGCTGTTGTCTTACAAGTGTTTGTAGTCGTTGACCTGGTAAACTTTCTGTGAGTCCCTTTTAGGCTTTTAGCCCAATGCCACTACCGAAAGTCAATCCAAGGCCACATGGAAATGATGGTACATCATAATTATTAAATGATTCGCATGCACTGGTCATAGTTCATTTAAAGGTTTTTATTTCTAAATCATTATCGTCACATAATTTGTGAGTCACTATATCTGGGAGATAATAGTGGAAAACCTCTGGACCTAGAATCAGAAAGCTGGGTCCAAACCTACTTTACAAGATTATTGTGAAGATTAAATGAGTAATAATAATAACTCATCTGTTGAACACGTACTTTATACTGCATATGGAGCTAGATGTGTTACATATATTAGGTTAAATGAGTCTTAAAAGAAGCACTGTGAAATATGTATTATTACACCCAGTTTCCAAGTGAGGAAGCTGAGGCTCTGGGAAGTTGAAAAACTGGCCCAAGCTTCCACACCCTTCCAAGCTGCAGGCCTAAGATGCATGTAAAAGGGCTCTAGCTAGGATGTGTGTAAGCTGGACTTGCCATAAAAATATAAGGTATCTAATTATAAAGTCTCTCTGAAATGACGAGTTCTTTTAATATTACCACATAGCCTCCCTTCTACGGTGCCTGTATATTCTTATCTGGCGCAGTGAATCAAACCAGCTTAGATCCAGGAGCTGGGAACTCATCTGATCTCAGCCATCATTTATGCAAGTCGCTTTTCTTCACTTCCTCATTTATGTTTTCCCAGTTTCCATATTAGTAACTCACATGTGGACCGCACTGACCCACATCTCACCAGGTCACAAGGGTGTACTATTTAGAAAACTTGCCATGATCAGTTTTCAAAATCGCCCAAATATTCCAAAGAAATTGGTGTGATTTGCCGCATGACAACAGGGGCATGGGTGGAGTGGGGTAGGTTGTATGAACAAAGGCAGAAAAGGAGCCCAGGCATCTGCTTTTCCATCTTCACGTCTGTGGCCATATGATCCCCTGGTAGCTTGGTGTTTATATATGAATTTTTTTCTTATGTGTAATTGTAGGATAGAAACCTGATTCAGATTGCACAGTTGCTAAGTAATGGATACATACACACAAAATCTCCAAACTGTAACCTTCAATTAACTATACATTTAACTTTTTTTTTTTTTTTTTTTTTTGCGTTATGCGGGCCTCTCACTGTCGTGGCCTCTCCCATTTGCGGAGCACAGGCTCTGGACGCGCAGGCCCAGCGGCCATGGCTCACGGGCCCAGCCGCTCCGCGGCATGTGGGATCCTCCCGAAACGGGGCACGAACCCGCGTCTCCTGCATCGGCAGGTGGACTCTCAAGCACTGCGCCACCAGGGAAGCCCTACATTTAACTTTTAATGGGAATTCTCTGGAGGTCCAGTGGTTAAGACTCAGCACTTTCACTGCCGGGACCCGGGTTCAATCTCTAGTCAGGGACTTTGGGGGACTTTGGGGGATCTAAGATCCCACAAGCCACGCAGCACGGGGGAAAATCTTTTAAGTTGCTTAAAAATAGACAGATCTATGAAAGTTAGACATAAATTTCAAAACAATCCATTTTTATTTATTACTTTATTGGTGGTACAATCTAAGCAGAAAAATCTAAGGGTTTTGGTGTCATTTGCTTACTCAACATTGACTGGATGCCTACTAAGTGCCAAGCACGGTGCTGTGAGCTTCGATGAATGCAGTAGACAAGACAAACCCCATCTCTGCTTTCACGGAGTTTATAATCCAGCAAGTGAGGCCAACGTGGAACAATACAATACTAACAAATGTGCTAAGTTCTAGCAAGTTCAGGATGCTGTAAGAGTGTGTCATGGGGGGAATTCAGCTGCCTGGAGATTCAGGCGAAGCGTCTTTGAGGAAGTTACGTTTCAGCTGAGACAGACTGCCATCTGCTCCGGGTTGTGTAAATGCATTCCCATCCCGATTCTGACCCTTGGACATGTTCATGTCTCAGAGCTTGGGTCCTCACCTGTAAAATGAGGATGATGCCCACTTGTCAGTGCTGTGGGAGTGAAAGAGAATACAAGATAAAGCACCTCCTGCGGTACCAGGCATGTAGTAAGCCCGAAGTGCATGGCGCTTGGTGTAATTACATACCAATGTAGGCAGCAAAGGGAAACTGAAGAAAAGTTTGGCCAACAGCTAAAGGTAAATGTATGGAGGGGAAACTTGGCAAAGTCCCCAAATTCAAGGGACAGTCGTTACCCCACACTTGTATGGAGCCTGTATGTCCCGAGTTTCAGATATTGGAACACCTAATACTTTAAGGCTCTGCTAAATACTGTTTTCATGAGAAATTGATAAGAAATATTTGGAGTTAATCTCTTTCTAGGTGTATGTTAGCCAATGCTCAGATTTTTTCCCTGGCAAAAGTAAGATGCCTGGGAAACGGCAGTCCCGCCAGAGGACACATAGTTAATCAGATTTTGGCAAGCTCAAGGGACAGGCAAGTGTTCAGAAGCCAGATGGGAAGGGAAGCGATAAATGCCCACTGGAGGCTTTAGTTGAGGTCAGAAGACCAGGCGCCACAGGCGAGGACCTGGAAGAGGGCACCACTGGCTTTCTCACCAGCGCTCACCGGACATTGTGCTTCAGGAAGCCGATCCGGGATGCCCAGCGCTCCTCCCCGTGAGCTCCCTCCCCAGGCCTCCCGGGCGCTTGGATCCTAGCCACGTCCTCACCCTTCAAATAGGTGTGGGTGGTTTCTTAAGTGGACGTGACCACCGCCGAGGGGAAAGCGCGCAAGGAGGTGGGAGCGAGCGGGGAGGCGGGGCGGGTGGAGAGGGAGCAGTGGGAGGGGTGAGGAGTGAGAGGGCGGCGGAAAGGAGCGAAGGACGCTGTGGCCGGGCCGGAGGAAGTGCGCCGGGTCTCGACGGTCGCTGCGCACCCCCGGCGCGTGGGGCCGCCAGGAGAGCCCGAGATGCTGCTGCGCTGGAAGCCCGCGCTGCCGCTGCGGCTGCTGCTGCTCCTGGGGCCGCTGTGTCCCTGCTCCCCGGGCGCCCTGGCGGAACTCGCGCCAGCTGAGGACGTCGTGGTGCTGGTTTTCTCCACCGAGCGGCCAGTGCATCTGGTGAGTCCCGCGTTCCTGTCCTTCACCATCGACGCCAATCTGGCCACGGACCCGCGGTTCCTCACCTTCCTGGGGTAAGTGCGGGTCTGCGGGCCCTTGTCCTCTCTCCTGCCCTGCTGACATCACGCCCGCCCTGCCGGCCGCTTTCTTCTCTATACTCTGGGACCTTCTCACCTCTCTCTCTCTCTCTCTCTCACCTTGGGAAAAGGCAAGGTATTTTTAAACCATGACCTTACAATCCCACTTTCCTTCTCCCCTCTCTCTCTCTCTCTCTCTCCCTCTCTCTCTCTCCCTCTCTCTCTCTCTCTCTTTTTTCTCCCCAGCCCACCCCCTGCAGGTCCCCCAAACCCTTCTTTCCCGCCTTCATTCATTCAGCAAGTGTTGCCTGAGTGCCAACTAAAGGCCAGGTATTAGGGGAAATTGAGGAAAGAAACTTCCCATCTGCCCCAGAAACTCACGGGAAGGAGGGGGCCCGGCAAGTGCACCTGGAGGGCTTTGAGCATTTGAATTTGCTGCACCTTGTAGGACAAGTAACACTGTGCGCCAGGCTTCAGTCTCTTAAACTCTGTTAGTAAGGTTAAAGGAAAGAAACAACTTTTTCCTTGGGGGAGGGGTGGGGGAAGGAAAAGGCCACAAAGGAGAATAAGCTTACTTATTCTATAATACTTATAAAGAGCAGTTTTACGTTCACAGCAAAACTGAGCACAAGGTACACAGATTTCCCATACTATGCTCTTTTAAAAAAATTTTAATATCACATCAGTGAGACCTGGAAGACTATTTCAGTGACTTACAGAGCCTTAATAAAAAGCTCTCTCTCCAAGATGAGACTGCAAAATGTGGCGCTGCTTTACTAGCTGTAATTTTTTTTCTCCCTTGAGAAAGACTGAGCCTAGTGCAGGTTCACTGTTCCCTGCCCATGAGTGCAGGCTGATTCCAAGATAGGGCGCCACAGGGACAGACCCAGGTCATCTAGGCCACTCATCTCGGTCATGAGAGCCTCCAGAGATGACCACACCTCAACCAGCGCAAACAACTCGAATCCTGCCATTGCCAAACACCTACAGGCTGGCCTTTCTGTGCCCACACCTTCAGCTGCTATTGCTAATTTCAGTCACTTACTTTGCAAATAAAAGCAGATAGTCTAAGGTTGCGAGATTGGCAGTGAGACCAGCCTTGGTTCCCAGCTCTGCCCAAACCGGTGGCTTGGTTTTTACAGGTTGCTTGGCAGCTCCAAGCCTCGATTTCTTCAACTGTAGAATGGAACTTCTAAAACCTTCCTGTAGGATTGCTATGAGCATTGGATGAGATAATAAATAAGCACTTAGTGTTTGATGGTGCTCAAAATTTGTTAATTGCTTCTTCCTGGAAATTGGTGAGTATTTGCTAACAATTCATCAGTTCTCTGTGCATTTCTTTCCATAGTAGTTAACCTCTATCTTTCCCCATGTGGCAAGAAAGGAAGAATTTCCTGGTGAAAAGGAGTTCCCACTTTTTCCCCTTTCCCTTATGGAAAGTGAGCTGATATCAGGCAGAAGCTGGCTGAGAGACAGAAAGATTATTCTGGTGAAACACTGAACTAGAGGGCTCCATATCTGAGGACCCCAGGCCTAGCTTGGGATGGGGGTGGGGGGGTGGTGATAGGGGAAGAGAGGGTGAGGTGCCTTACTGCAAACAGAAAGATTAAGTAAATGACCATTTATTGGAATGTGAGAACTTAAGCCCTTTTCTGCTGCTGCAGCCAGCCTATACCCTACCCTAGAGTTTGGGTATCCCTTCCTGGAGACACAAGTCCAAAAGAAAAAACCTACAGTATGACTTTGGGGGTCCAGGCCTGATCACCCTGCAGGCAAGCTAACCAACTTGATAGCAATGCTCCCCAACCCCAAACACACACAGAACTTCCATTCGGCTTAAACACATCTCTTAATTTCCCATAGCACTCTTCCCCCCCCCCCCATCTCCACCTTTTTGTTAAAGGCTGGAGGATAATGAAACCAAAAAAGCATAGCATGCAATCAATAAGACTGTTTGTTTACAAAACACAATGTATTCCTGTTCATGTGGGCTTCTCTCCAGGGCTGGCTCCTGACCCCTCCAGGTCCCTTCCCTGAGCAGAAGCTGTTTTCCATACCTACTCCCCAGAGGCATCCATACAATTCTCATCTGAGACCTTAAAGAGTGCAGCTCAAAGAGGAATGAGCTCCCTCCCCTTCTCACCTGAGATGGAGCTTCTGAATTAGGGTTTGAGGATCCGTCTCCCCAGGATGGCTGACACAGTGCCCAAAGTGACGTGGCCATCTCAGAAGACAGAATATTTAGCTTCCATCTCAAAAGACAACACAGGGCTTATCATCTATCACAGGAGCGGAGAGTCAGATGGGCATTGTTGTATTTCAGTTCCTCAAGAGTGAAGCTGCTTGGGTGAAGATGGCAAGAGCTGAGCAGATGAAAGCTGAAATACTAAGAAGGGGAGGATTATAAAAATAGCTATGGCACTAATTGAACCGTCGTCATAGGCCAGGCCCTGTTCTAAGCACCTCCTAGGCACTATTCATTTAGTCCTTGCTACAAAACTGTGAGGTCAGTACTATTATCATCCCCATTTTTCAAATGAAGAGATTGAGGCCCAGGGAGATTCCACAACTTGCCCATGGTCAGCCAACTATGACATGAAGGAACAGAATTTGAAGCCAGATGCTAATTGTAGACACACGAGTACACAAAAAGAAAATAAAGTAGTTCATATTTTTTAAAGGCAGCAGAGGAGGGGTGGTAGAAAAAGATTGTCTGGAAATAAATCGAGAACACTGATGTAATGAAAAGAAGCCCTGTCTTGAGAACAGGAGAATCATGGCCCACATCGCTATGGTACTTCAAAAGAGGCCTAAGCAAGTTCAGTCAGATGGCACGGTTCTGGTTTCCCATGGTGGCAAACAGATGTGTTTTGGGTTTGTTTTTTTTCTTCCCCACATTTGCAGTTAAAGAACATGGGGTACACAGAACTTAAACGCCAATGGTAGAACAATCTAGAATCAGAAAGGAGCACCTTTTCAGTTTGCCCTCTTCTTGGAGGTAACTCATCAACCCAGTCAAAAACTTCCTAAGCCCAACTACGTGCAGAGCTCCCAAGAGGCCCTGCCCCTCAGAGATGGGAGGACAGAGACCAGTAGGGCTAAACAGAAATAGAATGTGGGCCTCATGAGTAAGCCACATAATGTAATTTAAAGTTTTCTAGTAGCCATATTAAAAAAGGGAAAAAAGAAACAGGTAAAATTAATTTTAATAATATATTTTACTAAACACAAAATATCCAAATTACTATCATTCAACATGTAATCAACACAAAATATTAATCAGATATTTTACATTCTTTTTCAAACCAACTCTTCAAAGTCTGGTGTATGTTTTATATTCCCAGCACATCTCAGTTCAGACTAGCCACATTTCAAGCTGCATGTGGTTACTGCCTTGGCAGTGCAGCCACATTTCAATACAAGCACAGTTCACTAATTCAAGGTAAAAATTAGAGCGCCGAGTCAGTGGTAGAAATCACAGAGCCAAAACGGTGGTGCTACACAGCGATTGCAGTGCTAATGCAGCTGTGTTTGCATTTCATAAGGATTTGCCTATTTTATTTCAGCAAAGTTCATCCCTTGTTGCCAATTTGATAAATATTTATTATTAGTAACTTTCAATAATCAGATTCCTGCATCTTCATGGACAAAGTTGCTTTCCATATTAGAAAAGCACTTATTCTCAATGTCAAATGCATGTTTTGATAAGCAATGTTGGAAATAACCTCAGGCCCTCTCTGTGCCTGTTGCTGAGAGAAAGAACCACAGCCAGAGAAACAGAAAACTGAGAACAATCAACAAGCCATAGGCTCATAGTTTCTGACCCCTGAGACTCTGCGCTTCCCCCGGTTGAGCAGCGCTCACCGTTCCCTTCCTCCACAAAGTCTTTCATTGTGCAGCCTAGAGCCCTTTGCAAATGGTAACCCTGCTCCATTTTCCCTGGAGAATATTCCGGCCTCCTCTTTGCCCTATAGCTAAAACTTGGCTCTTCTTTTGAAGACCCAAGTGGAGAAGCAGACGCAGCTCCGTCTCTGAAGTAACCGTTTGGAGTAGAAGCTGTGTGTTCTCCCGCACTGCAGCCCTCCCCCATTCCCCAGTGTAGCTTCTAGATAATTGCCCACTGGTTTGAGCTCCAGATTGTCGTGGTTCAAATCCCCATTGGCTTTTGTGTACCTTGGGCAAATTACCTAGCCTGCTTTTGTTCAGCTTCCTTGTCTGTAAAATGAGGGTAATAATGACACCTACCTCTTTGGGTTGTTTGGGCATTAAGTGAAATAATCTATGCAAAGTGTGTAAAACACTCAGTTTGGATAACTTGATGCCTGCTAGTGATGGCTGTCCTGACCCAGGGTGAGGTTTGCTATCTCCACGTCTGGCTCTCTTCCTATGCTCCTTGCGACCGAACTCTGCTCCCCTCTTATTGACTCCTCATTATTGACTGAAGATCCACATCGATCTCACAGTTTCCTCTGCACTCCCACGTCCCACCATCATCCTAGATGACTTCAAGTCCACTTGAGTACTGTCTCTCAGTTTCCCCACACCCACATTTTCTAATAATCTTCACTCAGTGTTTTACTGGAGCCAGTTTCCACCAGCTGGTGAAATGTGTGCATTTCTTCCCAACTCCACATTCAGTGACATCAGCACCATTATCTAGAAATCAGCCTTGATGGGAATATTTACACCATGGAAATTGGCGAATGCAAAAAACAGGGCACTTTTCTGGGGGCGGGGTGGGGCAGCTTCCTAGAACACACCATTTCGCTCCATTTCAACCACCTGATGCCATGGCTGTGCCTTGACTCTTTCCATCACTAAGAACCTTTCAACATCTGAAATCTTAAATTAAAATCTCCAATTCTTGGACTGTACTCCTTACCCTCTTAGCTTTTTTTTACTTTGTGGATCCCACCACAACTATTTTTTAAGTACCTCCACTGAATAGCCTCTTCCTTTTACTTCTTCCATATCTGATTTGGGCTTCTTGATTTATC